GATAATGAAAATGAAAGCCATGCGAACATTCACGTATATTATACAATAAACATATTTAATATAAAATCCTTCTAACTTTATTTTTAATCTGTATTTTAACCCTCTAAAAACAGCTATGTCCTTGCCACTAAACTAATAATCCATCTTCAAAACCTACAATTTCTTTCCATTCGGTGCGGTCGGACCTGAACGTCTTTATACCGTTGTAATCACGTGTAAATTCTAACAAAGACAATGTTTGCACTTTTTAAATCACATTTTATTTATTGTGCAAAAATAAAACATCCAAACAGCATCATAACCAATAAAAACACACAGCAAAGAAAATGTATTTTAAAATAGTGAATATATATATATACATACAATGTATGAAGATTTTTTATATCCCCTTAATATGCTCTGCTGTTGCTGCATCAATTTCTCTCTGTAACGTCTGGATTGCAATTTACACTGCAATGTTCACAATTTATTATTATGGGGGGGAAATCCAAACAGTATTATAATGTTTTAAAGCAAAAATGTTAAGAACAATTATTTACAAACAGATAAAATAAAGTGTGTGTATATACATATATATATACATACAGTTGAAGTCAGAATTATTAGCTCCCCTGTTTATTTTTTCCCCAATTTCTGTTTAATGGAGGGAAGATTGTTTCAGCACATTTCTAAGCATAATAGTTTTAATAACTCATTTCTAATAACTTCTTTATTTTATCTTTGCCATGATGACAGTAAATAATATTTGACTTGATATTTTTCAAGACACTTCTATACAGCTTAAAGTGACATTTAAAGGCTTAACTAGGTTAATAAGGTGAACTAGGCAGTATATATATACATACATATATACATATATAACACATACACACATTTATGGTTAGGGTTATAAGGATTATTTTTTATCCCCCTTTTATCTTGGCAAAAACATAAGTTTACTTATTTTTTATAAGTAAAAAGATATTTCTTTCAAAACAGAATATTCTGTACCGCAAAAAAGCCTTCTCCTCACTTGTGATAATGACAATGAAAGCCAAGCTTTTGGCCTGTGCTGTACCAAAAAAAAAAAAAAATCACCCAGGTGATGACAATTAAATATTACGATTATAACATTGTGTTAGTGGCCAGTGGGGTGGAACAACGTCATTGGTCAGAATTAACCACGTGATGAAGATGGCCTAATATTGTATTTAATACAATTTTCTTCCTGTAAACTGTATATATAACTATATAACTATAACTATATATATAATGCTGCAAATTACTGTAAATTGACTGTACTCTATATTAACTGCAAAACTGATAAGATTGATTAAATAAAAGACAAATTAACTAAATGTATGTGCTATTGTTTCATTAGTATTTTAATTTAATATTTGTCTTCATATGATATTTATTATAATGTAATTTTGTTCAGATTATAATATATACTATAAATACTAACTATACTATAGTGATCTGCATTAAACAACCTGAACAAATCAGTCCTCTCTCTCTCTCGATTTGATCAAAAATGTAAATGAGGCCTTCCGATTAACAGTTCAGTGGACCCTAGCAACAGCCTAGAAACCACTCAGAACACCCTAGCAACTACCTAGGAATGCCTTAGCAACATCTTAGCAACCGCCTAGCAACCACTTCTCAACCGCTGTGCTTCCTGCCAACTGCCTTTGAGTCCCCGGCGCAGTCACGTTGGCTTTCTCAAGCCAACATCAAAGTTCGTCAACGAACTTTAGGTTCTAGTATAATATAAAAGCTCTTGGGATGTAGTTGTACATGCTCAGAATCCTCTAAATTAAATGTTGTTTTTATTGTGACACACATGGCCACTTAGACCTCAGTTTATGCTGTTTAATGCAGACATGCACTCAAAAAAAAAATGATATGTTGGCGTTAAATAACTTTTTTTTGTCCACTGGTTCCACGGAACTGAGTTAAGTTACCTTTAAGAAAGAATATTAATTTTAGTGAACTTAAGTTAGTTACATAAAGGTAATGTAATGTTGTTTAGGTCAATCAACGTAACATTTATAATTTAGCTTTATTCAATGTAGTTATTTAAGTTCCATTATTCTAAAATTGATATTGTTATGTTTAACCAAATAAAAAAACTGTTTCCGTTTTATTCAGTTTATTCAATAGCATTTTTACAATTTTACACATTTTCCAGCAATCAAATGATTATCAAAATCTAAAAATTGTCTTTATCTCTATCTTCACTTATTACAATAATTTTAAATATTAATACTATTAAAATAATAGTAATACAAGTATAAAATAAATTAAAAACAATTAATTATTTACAAAATATGCTTACAAAAGCATCATAAAATACACTTTTCAAAATGATACTTTTCATATATTACAAAAAACATTCAAAAAATTATATTCTGCCTTCAAATGATTCACAAAAATATACTTAGAAAAATTAAGTCGTCTTTTGTAAACTATACTGTACCTTCTTTACACTGAAAAAGCAGATAACACTTCAGTTGTTCAAAGAAAGATTAACATTTTAAAGCAAAGTAACACGATCAGCACTACACCATAAATTAGACCAACCATCACAGAACATGCAATAGCTACACACATTCATCTCTGACATTTGCACCATTTCTGCACATTTGCATCAGACACTTTCTTACAACCACTCCCTATATCTAAAAAACAAACACACAAAAAAAAAAAAACATTGTGCATGAAGTCTGCTTCACACAGGTGAGTGGGCTTGACAAACCACATGTAGAAGCATTCTTAATTCTTAACATTCTTTGTATAATTAGCACATCTTGGGTGTACTGCCTCTTCTTGTGGATTTGCTGAATGTCTCCTCAATTGTAAGGTTCTTCAAAAGAGTCTGCTAAATGTTAATGTAACTACTGTAGATTCATAAGGTGGTGTTGCACATCAAGGTTTGTGCTTCATCATGCCCAGCATCCTAAAAATGTCAGATAAAAAAATAAACATTTACCAACAGATCAAAGGTGAAAGGAGGAATTGGTTTAAGACGAAAATACAAAATGTAAAAAAAAAATGTAAATAGCTTACCATGTACTTCCTTTACTTAGGGGCTTTGAGGATGCATTCACACCTTTTTTTCCCACTGGTGATGTTCTAAATGACATGAAGTGACAAGTAGTAATTTACTAAATAATTAGTAGTTAAAATTACTCGTAATTTTTACTGTACATCATTTTAATGTGTGTATAGGGATCTAAAGGCATAGTACGATCCACAGTCTCCTCAGCCAGATATGGGACTTTAGAGGTTGAGCTGTAAACCTGTGAGGAAGAAAATAAATGCGAGTGAGCAAAGATTTGTAATAATAAAATATAATAATATAAATATATACAATTTATAATAATATATTTATAATAATAAAAATAAAAAACACTGCAAACTACTAAACTTAAAAGTTTAAATGTGTTAGATGACCAAACAAATAAGCTTACATTAAATATGTCATCATGCTAGATGTCATCCTATTTAAGTGTCACATATGCTTGTCAAGTTTTTTTTTTTTTTTTTTTTTTTTTTAAGTTAACAGGCTTGTATAATAAAAATGTGCCAACACCACCTTTTAATTAATATTATGTAAGTTATCAAAACTGGCATTAAAACTTGACAAACAGCTTGATACTCGAGACTATCAATAGAGACTATCAAATCAATAATCAAATAACTTTTATTGTCACATTATCAGCAGCACGTCTGCTATGATGAGTAAAAAGCTAAGACTACCAACGTTTGCAACTTTATTTTGGGGGAGTTAATATACACAAAGTATAAAATTTCAAAGGAATGCAAAAAAACTAAAAATTTATCTGTCATTAATGTGAAAAAGTCTCAGGGAACATGGCAATTTCACAACAATACTATACACAAACACAACAAAGTATAATAAGGGAGTACATTAATGACTCAAATGTTGTCACAGCCTCAATATAAATACATAAAAAGTAAAAAAAAAATCTCACCTGTGTGTCCACATTGGGCAAAGCTTTGTGCACGTTCTCAATTTGTACTGTAATCTTTATCTTTTGATTCCCATAATATGGCGCCGAGCTGAGAGTGATCGTTGTGGTTTGAATCTTCTTCCTTCCTGTGTTGTTTTGAAACTGCGCATGTGCAGATATTACTCCATCTACTGACCAAAATGCAGTACTGCAGAAGCAACACAACTCCCTTTCATTCATGTTAATTAAGCGAGCTGTATAAATGTGAAAACTTACTTTTTCTAATTTTTTCCAACACAACACTTTTATTTTTAATACACAAACATAAGTGAATTGTTTAATTTAAACAGTTAAATTCTTTGGACCAACTAAAGCCAAAATTGATTTTTTTAAGTGTGGGAAAAGAAATAGATGATCATTGCTGCAGTTCAAGAATGTAACCAGGTAGCAAGAATTCTTGCACAGGTTTGTTATAAAGCTGGTAGAGCAGGCATTCATCCGCCACTGGCTTACAGCATGTGGGCCAAACATTGGCCAGGTTTGGCAGACGTGGCACCGTCTTTAAGGCAGCATGCAAGACATGGGCCAGATGTCAAATGTAGTATTTGGGTCAGATGTTATAAATTGCAGTGCAAGTTTACTGTATTCTGTAGCTTTTGTAAGGGCGCACTCACACTATGCTATCCAAACTGTGCCAGGCCTGTTTCCCTGTACGTTTGAGAAGTTCAATGCTCTGAATCAGTTTGGCAATTTATTTGAATATGTTCCACTGCATATCAAAACATAAAAACAATATAACTAAAGAAATGTCCACTGTGCTGAGCTTAATAAACACTCATAAGCACAGATTTCAGTATCAGAATGAGAAGGTTTTTGCTTTCTATGATCCTCTTCCAGAAAAACACTCGACATTAAAAGGTGTAAATGAAATCCTCAGAATGTCTTCAGCTCAGCAGTAAAGTCTCAGAAACACAAAGAGATGATCGACGGATTATCAGACGAAACTCATAGATGATATAAAGCACAGAAAGAGCAAACTCTCACCTCAAATAATGCCTGCAGATCTTCCTTTTCTTCCGCTGAACTTTTGAGCTGAACATCAGATCTGAAAACTCTTTCACCTCAGGAAAACACGTCACATCCTGTTTGAGACATGAGGAAATAAGCAGTCAGATGAAAACCCAGACACACAAGTAGATAAGTGTAGTGGCAAAAAGGAGGCTCTCTCAGTGGTCAAGAAGACAAATTCTTACCCAAAGTGTCTTTTAAAGTTTTATTCTTTGCAAAGAAGGTCACACAGTCATACATCAACAACAGTTTCTGCAGAGAGAGAGATGCGGAAACAGAGTGCGTTCTCTTTTTATTGAGTTTGTAATACCCACAAGGTCATCAGTGACATACAGGATGATACACAGTTACATCAGCACTTCATTTTAGAACATTTCAGCTTTACATCCTATCCGAACATGTAGTTTGTTAAATCACCATGTACTTATCCAGATCTTGTCTGGTGATACTCAGATGTTAAAGTGGTCACACTTGATCTAACTTAAACAGTGCATCCATGGAAGAAAAAAGACCATCATAGTGTACATAAATGAATTTCCACCACAATTCCTCTCTTTTTATCATTCATGGATAACACTAAATACATTATATACTAGTTTCATAATCACGATGTTAATCATTTAGCAGGTTTCTGCACACTCCATATACACTAGAGATGTTCAAACACTCTTCTTAATATAGTTTACCCATTAAGATTTACTTTTGCAAACATCCCTCTTCCCTGGGAGCCGGGCTAAATGAATAATCACTTTCATTGCGCTCCTGACCAAAATCAGACCCTCAGTCACCCCACAGAGGTTCAAACCACAGAAATCGGCTGTTAATTTGACATTATTATTGTTTCATACACAGTAAATTCTGGTAAACATTGCTTCAATCAGTTACAAATCACTTATACTACACATCATTTGTTCACCATTACAATACATCCACAAACATAGGAACACTCTGTTGTTACAGCACTCTTAAATATTCATCACATTTACACTCTTCTCTCAGTTTTCACGTACATGATCACTCTTTTAAGATTAACTACAGAACATGTCAACTCATCAGGTTTGCTGGTTTTGTTGGGACAGACCCAAAATACATTTTGTCATGTTCGTGTCTTATAATAAGGATGCCAAGTTGGAACAAGTGTATGCTTTATTTATCAGTTCAGTCTGCAGCCTCATGCTGTCTTATTCTAACTCCTTCTAATGTCACATGAACCCTTACAAACCTCTGATGCCATCTAGTGTTCACACACGTCATTACATACAATCACAACATCCCCCTTTTTCTCAGGCAAAACATTAACATAAACTTTAACATCTTTTGTCAGTGAATTTATCCATTTCTCCTTTAGTAAGACCCTATATTTTCATAACAATGAATATGCATTTTCTCAGTTTTAACATAAATTCAACCCAACATACCAACATGTAAACTATTTAAATGTCTTATCTTTCATTTACCCACTATAAATTCAGTCTATTAGGCTTTCTAACTTCTCCGGTGGACCTTCTCAACTCAGGAGTAAGTGTGTGTGTGTCAGTGTCACCATCAATAACAGGTGTGTGAATTGTCTCAGGTTCACCACAGGTCACACTTGGCTCTCCAACAGTTTCTTGTTGTGTTTTTAGCAAACTGCAACGATTACGCCTGAGGATTTGTCCATCATCAGTTTTCACTGTATAGGATCTTGGAGCTACTTCTTGCAGAACAGTTGCTTTTGTGCTCCATCCATCAGCATCCTCAACTCTGACTTGGTTGTTAGATGTCAAAGGTGAGAAATGTTTTGTGGTCCTGTCATAAAAGGACTTTTGCTTCATTTTCTGCTTTTGCCAGTTATGTTCAATCTTGGCAGGATTCTTTTGCTTCAATTTGTCACTTGTATGACTTGGTAATGTTGTCCGAAGTTTTCTCTTCATCAACAGTTCAGCTGGTGAGAAACCGCACTGAAGAGGTGATGCTCTGTAGCTCAATAGAGCCAGGTACGGGTCCGAATCACTGTCAGCTGCTTTCTTTAAGAGCTGCTTCAGAATGTGGACCCCTTTTTCCGCTTGACCATTTGACTGTGCATAATGCGGACTTGATGTTATATGCTTGAAGTCATACTGTGCTGCAAACTTCTGCCATTCTTTGCAATTGAAGCATGGACCATTGTCACTCACCACAATTTGTGGAATGCCATGCCTGGCGAAGATTGACTTGGCATGTGTTATGACACAGGTCGATGTTAAGTTTGTCAATAGCGCCATCTCGGGGTAGTTTGAGTAGTAATCAATTACCACTAAATAGTCCTTACTTCTAAGATGAAACAAGTCCATTCCTACTTTATGCCATGGTGCAGTCGGAAACTCGGCTACCACCATTGGCTCTTTGCTTTGCTTGCTTCTGTGTTTCTGACATGTTTCACATCTACTTATGAGTGTTTCAATGTCTTTGTTAATTCCAGGCCAGAAAACTGTCTCTCTCGCTCTCCTTTTGCATTTTTCGATGCCGAGATGACCTTCATGTATCCTGTGCAACATGTCCATTCTCAAAGCCTGCGGAATGACAAATCTGCCCTTTTTTAAAAGCAGACCATCCATAGCACTGAGCTCTCCTCTGATGTGATAAAATTGTGGAGATGCACCAACTGGCCATCCCTCATCCATGTTTCTCATGACATGCTGCAACTCCACATCCTTTGCTGTAGCCTCCACAATCTGGCTCGACTTTGTGTCTGACACAGGCAGTGCAGCTGACACCATATTTACGTGACATTGTATGTCTTCGTCAGTTGTACTCACACTGTTGCCTGCAGTTGCCCTGGATAGAGCATCCGCAAGGACTAGGTTTTTTCCTGGAGTATATATATTAGTTCAAAATCATACCTCTGCATCTTCATCATTAAACGCTGTATCCGTGGAGACATTTTGTTCAGATTCTTTTTGATGATGGAGACTAGTGGTCGGTGATCAGTCTCAGCCGTGAAAGATGGCAGTCCATACACATAGCTATGAAAGCGTTCCAAACCATACGCCAGCCCCAAACACTCTTTTTCAATCTGAGCGTATCGGCATTCAGTTTTGATCATAGCCCTAGAAGCATACGCTACCGTTTTCCAGTGCTCTCCTTCAGCCTGGAGTAAAACAGCCCCAATGCCATCTTTGGAAGCATCTGTAGATAGTTTAATCCACAGTGTGAGGTCAGTGTGTTCTTAAATTGCTGCCACTCATTCTCATGTTTAGCTGTCCATTTAAACTCACAGTCTCTGTGCAGAAGCTCACGTATACATGATGTCTTCGCTGTTAGATTGGGAATGAATTTGCCTATGAAATTGACCATCCCCATGATGCGAAGCACACCTTTCTTGTCAGTAGGCCTTGGCATGTTCTGTATTGCATGTATTTTATCCTGCTCCGGTTGAACACCACGAGCAGAAAGCTTGTCTCCTAGGAAAAGGATTTCCTCCACGCCAAACTCACACTTACTTTTGTTGAGTTTTAGTCCATACTTTTGTATGCGCTCCATCACTCTGCACAGTCTCTCGCTGTGTTCTTGAGCTGTGGATCCCCATATGATGATATCATCAATATAGACTCGAACTCCTTGTAAGATCCGGCCCACTGGTCCAACGGCGGCAGCCAATGGCACGGCAGAAGGGTCTTTGCGCGTCACTATCTTTTCATAAACAGCAGACATTACAATAAAGTAAAATACACCTCTTATGTATTATCTCATAATTTTATCTGACTCCATGTTATATATATATATATATATATTATTTATAATAGTTAATAATAATAATGATGATTTATAATTTGTTAATTTAGAAGGAATTTGGATGAATGTTTGAACCTTGTCTTCACTAGTAACTATTACATTCGTTCATTCGGGTGCTCATGTCGCTCAGAGAAATCGCCTCGGCCGAAGGCGTCCCTCACGGTCAGTCTTGAATATTAAACAGAGGTAAATTAACTAATACTTTAGATGGCCGCTACCAGCGCGCTCGTTCTAAAATACTTTAGTTAGTCCCGCTTAGGTGTACACCTTTGAGTTAAAATAATCATCATTTCTAATTAGAGGTTAGGGCATTAATATAAATGTACCCGACTACTGGACTCTATAGTAACTTTGGTTTTCACCAAGCCCATGGTTTCCCATATGAACTTAATTTAGAATAATATTACCTTCAAACAAAGGTCGGGTACCCAATCTAGGTTAGTCGTGCAACACCTTGTTGACCTAGATGGAAGTTATCGCCCTTTCCACCTAAGTACACAGCAAATTCATTGGGGTTAAATTTCTAGTGTTGTGGTAATTCAGAGTAAAGTGTTAAAATTCTAGAGTTAGATAAAGGTAAAATAACCCTCTCGGCGTTAGAAGCTGATTTGCCTCCTTGTCACACAGAGTAACGTATCTACCTTTGTAGAAAACCCTTGTATTAAAGAAACTAATCAGAGTGTCTGAAATCTCACCACACCCTCATTCACCTGGCCCTTAAATTGGTCAATTAGTTTAGTCTACTAGACAGAGTGAATGACCACAAATAAGTGAATTCAGACACCTGCTGTTGAACACCTGCTGTTAACAAGCACAATCACTGAAGGAATAAGAAACTGAAGGAAGAAATAAAACTACAGACACAGCCTCACAACAAACCAACTGAATTAAAACAGAGGATTAAACAACTCCATTAAATAATAGCATAAGCAGCTTCACTGATTACAGTTTGACTTCATTTCTGTAAGAATATATTTTTTTTATTAAAAATATTTCATTTGACCTCACCATCATGGAGATCAGAGGCTGCTTATTTGAGCTCTTGAAGCTTTACTCTTATATTCTAATGTTTCTCTGACTGTTATAGCTGTGTTTCTAGAACTCATCAGCTAGGACAAGAAAGGTCAAGAGAGACTATACTGTTTATGCTTAATTGTTATAGATAAAGTTTCAGGTGTTTAATAAGTTGATTCATAAAAATATGCAAATATAGTTGTATTAAAACTGCATGGGACAATACTTCTGGCTGTTTGCTGCTCTTCATAGAAGATTCAACAATTAGGATGCAA